GGAGTGACTTTATACTATATTATATAAATATCTCGGGACTGTAGGTAGGGGAGTGACTTTACACTATATTATATAAATATCTCGGGACTGTAGGTAGGGGAGTGACTTTACACTATATTATATAATCATCTGGGGACTGTAGGTAGGGGAGTGACTTTATACTATATTATATAAATATCTCGGGACTGTAGGTAGGGGAGTGACTTTACAGTATATTATATAAACATCTCGGAACTGTAGGTAGGGGAGTGACTTTACACTACATTATATAATCATCTCGGGACTGTAGGTAGGGGAGTGACTTTATACTATATTATATAAATATCTCGGGACTGTAGGTAGGGGAGTGACTTTACACTATATTATATAATCATCTGGGGAGTGACTTTACACTATATTATATAATCATCTGGGACTGTAGGTAGGGGAGTGACTTTACACTATATTATATAATCATCTGGGGGCTGTAGGTAGGGGAGTGACTTTATACTATATTATATAATCATCTGGGGGCTGTAGGTAGGGGAGTGACTTTACACTATATTATATAATCATCTGGGGGCTGTAGGTAGGGGAATGACTTTACACTATATTATATAATCATCTGGGGACTGTAGGTAGGGGAGTGACTTTATACTATATTATATAAACATCTCGGGACTGTAGGTAGGGGAGTGACTTTACACTATATTATATAATCATCTGGGGACTGTAGGTAGGGGAGTGACTTTACACTATAATATATACACATCTCGGGACTGTAGGTAGGGGAGTGACTTTACACTATAATATATAATCATCTCGGGACTGTAGGTAGGGGAGTGACTTTATACTATATTATATAATCATCTCGGGACTGTAGGTAGGGGAGTGACTTTACACTATATTATATAATCATCTCGGGACTGTAGGTAGGGGAGTGACTTTATACTATATTATATAAATATCTCGGGACTGTAGGTAGGGGAGTGACTTTACACTATATTATATAATCATCTCGGGACTGTAGGTAGGGGAGTGACTTTATACTATATTATATAAACATCTCGGGACTGTAGGTAGGGGAGTGACTTTACACTATATTATATAATCATCTCGGGACTGTAGGTAGGGGAGTGACTTTATACTATATTATATAATCATCTCGGGACTGTAGGTAGGGGAGTGACTTTATACTATATTATATAATCATCTCGGGACTGTAGGTAGGGGAGTAACTTTATACTATATTATATAAAAATCTCGGGACTGTAGGTAGGGGAGTGACTTTACACTACATTATATAATCATCTCGGGACTGTAGGTAGGGGAGTGACTTTATACTATATTATATAAATATCTCGGGACTGTAGGTAGGGGAGTGACTTTACACTATATTATATAATCATCTCGGGACTGTAGGTAGGGGAGTGACTTTATACTATATTATATAAATATCTCGGGACTGTAGGTAGGGGAGTGACTTTACACTACATTATATAATCATCTCGGGACTGTAGGTAGGGGAGTGACTTTACACTATATTATATAAATATCTCGGGACTGTAGGTAGGGGAGTGACTTTACACTATATTATATAATCATCTGGGGGCTGTAGGTAGGGGAGTGACTTTACACTATATTATATAAATATCTCGGGACTGTAGGTAGGGGAGTGACTTTACACTATATTATATAATCATCTCTGGACTGTAGGTAGGGGAGTGACTTTACACTATATTATATAATCATCTGGGGACTGTAGGTAGGGGAGTGACTTTACACTATATTATATAATCATCTGGGACTGGTAGGGGGGAGATATTATATAAATATCTATATTATATAAATATATAATCTCTCGGGACTGTAGGTAGGGGAGTGACTTTACACTATATTATATAATCATCTCGGGACTGTAGGTAGGGGAGTGACTTTATACTATATTATATAAATATCTCGGGACTGTAGGTAGGGGAGTGACTTTACACTATATTATATAAATATCTCGGGACTGTAGGTAGGGGAGTGACTTTACACTACATTATATAATCATCTCGGGACTGTAGGTAGGGGAGTGACTTTACACTACATTATATAATCATCTCGGGACTGTAGGTAGGGGAGTGACTTTATACTATATTATATAATCATCTCGGGACTGTAGGTAGGGGAGTGACTTTATACTATATTATATAAATATCTCGGGACTGTAGGTAGGGGAGTGACTTTATACTATATTATATAATCATCTCGGGACTGTAGGTAGGGGAGTGACTTTATACTATATTATATAATCATCTCGGGACTGTAGGTAGGGGAGTGACTTTACACTATATTATATAATCATCTCGGGACTGTAGGTAGGGGAGTGACTTTATACTATATTATATAAATATCTCGGGACTGTAGGTAGGGGAGTGACTTTATACTATATTATATAATCATCTGGGGGCTGTAGGTAGGGGAGTGACTTTACACTATATTATATAATCATCTGGGGGCTGTAGGTAGGGGAGTGACTTTATACTATATTATATAAATATCTCGGGACTGTAGGTAGGGGAGTGACTTTACACTACATTATATAATCATCTCGGGACTGTAGGTAGGGGAGTGACTTTATACTATATTATATAAAAATCTCGGGACTGTAGGTAGGGGAGTGACTTTATACTATATTATATAATCATCTCGGGACTGTAGGTAGGGGAGTGACTTTATACTATATTATATAAATATCTCGGGACTGTAGGTAGGGGAGTGACTTTATACTATATTATATAATAATCTACTGTAGGTAGGGGAGTGACTTTACTATATTATATAAACATCTTGGGACTGTAGGTAGGGGAGTGACTTTACACTATATTATATAATCATCTCGGGACTGTAGGTAGGGGAGTGACTTTACACTATATTATATAATCATCTGGGGACTGTAGGTAGGGGAGTGACTTTACACTATATTATATAATCATCTCGGGACTGTAGGTAGGGGAGTGACTTTATACTATATTATATAATCATCTCGGGACTGTAGGTAGGGGAGTGACTTTACACTATATTATATAATCATCTGGGGGCTGTAGGTAGGGGAGTGACTTTACACTATATTATATAATCATCTCGGGACTGTAGGTAGGGGAGTGACTTTACACTATATTATATAATCATCTCGGGACTGTAGGTAGGGGAGTGACTTTACACTATATTATATAAACATCTCGGGACTGTAGGTAGGGGAATGACTTTACACTATATTATATAATCATCTCGGGACTGTAGGTAGGGGAGTGACTTTATACTATATTATATAAATATCTCGGGACTGTAGGTAGGGGAGTGACTTTACACTATATTATATAATCATCTGGGGGCTGTAGGTAGGGGAGTGACTTTACACTATATTATATAATCATCTCGGGACTGTAGGTAGGGGAGTGACTTTACACTATATTATATAATCATCTGGGGACTGTAGGTAGGGGAGTGACTTTACACTATATTATATAATCATCTGGGGGCTGTAGGTAGGGGAGTGACTTTACACTATATTATATAAATATCTCGGGACTGTAGGTAGGGGAGTGACTTTACACTATATTATATAATCATCTCGGGACTGTAGGTAGGGGAGTGACTTTACACTATATTATATAATCATCTGGGGGCTGTAGGTAGGGGAATGACTTTACACTATATTATATAATCATCTGGGGACTGTAGGTAGGGGAGTGACTTTACACTATATTATATAAATATCTCGGGACTGTAGGTAGGGGAGTGACTTTACACTATATTATATAATCATCTCGGGACTGTAGGTAGGGGAGTGACTTTATACTATATTATATAATCATCTGGGGGCTGTAGGTAGGGGAGTGACTTTACACTATATTATATAATCATCTCGGGACTGTAGGTAGGGGAGTGACTTTACACTATATTATATAAACATCTCGGGACTGTAGGTAGGGGAGTGACTTTATACTATATTATATAAACATCTCGGGACTGTAGGTAGGGGAGTGACTTTATACTATATTATATAAATATCTCGGGACTGTAGGTAGGGGAGTGACTTTATACTATATTATATAAATATCTCGGGACTGTAGGTAGGGGAGTGACTTTACACTATATTATATAATCATCTCGGGACTGTAGGTAGGGGAGTGACTTTATACTATATTATATAATCATCTCGGGACTGTAGGTAGGGGAGTGACTTTATACTATATTATATAATCATCTCGGGACTGTAGGTAGGGGAGTGACTTTATACTATATTATATATATAATCATCTCGGGACTGTAGGTAGGGGAGTGACTTTATACTATATTATATAAATATCTCGGGACTGTAGGTAGGGGAGTGACTTTATACTATATTATATAATCATCTCGGGACTGTAGGTAGGGGAGTGACTTTATACTATATTATATAAATATCTCGGGACTGTAGGTAGGGGAGTGACTTTATACTATATTATATAAATATCTCGGGACTGTAGGTAGGGGAGTGACTTTACACTATATTATATAATCATCTGGGGACTGTAGGAAGGGGAGTGACTTTATACTATATCATATAATCATCTGTGGGGCTGTAGGTAGGGGAGTGACTTTACACTATATTATATAATCATCTCGGGACTGTAGGTAGGGGAGTGACTTTATACTATATTATATAACCATCTGGGGGCTGTAGGTAGGGGAATGACTTTACACTATATTATATAACCATCTGGGGACTGTAGGTAGGGGAGTGACTTTACACTATATTATATAATCATCTGGGGACTGTAGGTAGGGGAATGACTTTACACTATATTATATAATCATCTGGGGGCTGTAGGTAGGGGAGTGACTTTACACTATATTATATAATCATCTGGGGGCTGTAGGTAGGGGAGTGACTTTACACTATATTATATAAATATCTCGGGACTGTAGGTAGGGGAGTGACTTTACACTATATTATATAATCATCTGGGGACTGTAGGTAGGGGAGTGACTATCTTGATCCATTTTTCCTTCACTAACTAGAATCTCATTTTTGTAAATATACAAATATGGTATTCCGTTTTTAACACCAAGCACAAAATGTTGTTCAAAGTCTGCAGAGCGATAATGAAAGATGGTATTGTCTGTGACGGACTCCGGGTATATAAAAACGCTAAGAGTGAAGTCTTTAAAGTGTACAGCGGCAGTGACGTTGAGATCCATATGGGTACAAGTGTTGTCATTGAAACTAATTGGTGTGCATTGTACAGATGGATGGGATCCCTCAAACAGGTAAGTATTCACACTGCTTAGCTGGCCCGTTTTATATTCTGTTTCGTACGTGTGAAACTTGTCGCAGACCGGATATTGGTAAGTTACGGCTGCATTTTGACTGACTGTAACATCCATAACTGAAAGTAAAAATAAATCAATTAATGTAGCGATTAAGGGTTGGTATCAAGTTCATTCTAGTATATACAACGACCAAAATGCAATATTAACCATCTTTTCTCTTTTAGTTTGGTCGGACGTGGTGAATGACCTGTACACAAAGTTCAGCAAACAATATGTCACGAGCTTACTTTAGAAGAAACTCTAATTGAAACTGGAAATAAGTCTTTATTGGACATTATTTTCAGGTAATTAAACATGAACTGTATAGGTTTTCACACATCACAACAAGTTGAAATAACGTGAAAAGATTCTTACTAAATGTTTGAAATAGAGATCGGTGTTCTGCTGAGGTGAAAGAGATCCCTTATATCATTATTAGTTACTTTGTCTAACAATGTATTTAATGAAATATCGGTAAAACAATATGAAAACGTATCTACTTCGGAATTGTAATCCCTTTCCGAAAAGTACGTTGAGATCGAGTTGGATAATGTAATATCAAATAATGAACAAATAGATGGTTTAATTATCATTTATCAAGTTTTTGTAATTGCAAACATGTCTTTAAATGAATCATGATGTTAACAAACATATTGGCTATTTTCGTCCACTAAAGCAGGTCACGACCCTGGTGCATTCAGCCATTCAAGCCGCCGTTTGAAGAATCATTTTTGGCTTAAACATATATTGACATATGATAATTTCTAAGAGATTTACGTTTGGGTAAATAATCGCAACGCCGATGTATATATCAGATTAATGCAATCTGTACATTATCTCAGTAAGATTTTAAGTCTAGTACGGCCTGTTTTAATTATACAAAGACCTCTAAGATTTGTTTCGCAACAGGGTTTATATTTTACTACACATCAGGTTGTATACATAGTACTGATATCTTTCTAATGTGAACTTTTCCTGTTTTCATACAAATATGTCCGGTATTTCGTTTTATGCCTGGTAGATATATATTCTTCACTGCGAATTCTATATTGTTCTTTGGAATAATTATTATCTACATACCCAGCATATTTCGTTTGATATCCTATAGTCCCTATCATGTTTGAAAACGGCTGCTGACAAATATCACAGTTTATTTAGTTATTCATATACTTACTTCAGAAGAATCTCTAATGTATGTGGAAGAATAGTAAAACGGAGGTATTATATAGAAATGGAACATTCCTAGGTTTCTCTTATTACCAATGCCTAATCTTGGAAACATTCCAACGGTGTCAGGTATCTGATTTTAACCCACTATTACACTTCTAGGTATGTAGACCAGTAAATTTACTTAAAATGCTAAAATAAGTTTAGAACAAAGAACGAACATTTTTTTAAAAAAAGTGTTTTTAAGCTTATAAATTACGATAAAGTTGACATTAGTACAACTAGTACTGTTAAATCACGCTTCAAACAAGCCTAAATTATGTATTAGAAGAAATCTGTATTAAAAAATATTCGTTTTGTGATTGTTTCTAACGATGTTCTTTTGTATTATGTATTTTTAAATGAAAAACAATGTCAAATTTCTGAAATAATTTGGAAAAGGTAAAACGAAAAATATGTGACAATTTTGAGATCGTTTTTTTTATAATCTTCAAAACCAATTGCTGAAAATACGGTGATATCATGATGGAAACCTTTCATCCTGAAAAACTTAAATTGACAATTTAGTAACTTCAAGAGAAGTTTGAAACATAAACACAACATAAATATTAACATTATAAAAACATACCTCCAAACAGCAGTATCCATTGAAAAAGGCCCATTTTTACTTCAATATGGCCAATAGGGTTTATTTGGCTTGGAGTTAAGACACGTGAACTGATATATGTTGTCACTGTGGATACTTCTCTTGTACTGATACTGAATACACAGATTTCTTTCACTGTTTCAAAACAATTCGTGCAAAACATTTCTTTCATTAATACGAGAGAGAAAGACAGGATCGTGATATAGAAAATATTAATAATTAACATATATATTGCTGGTAAATTGTTTCTTCTTTACAGTCGGATGCAGTTTTATAGGATAGAACTCAATATATCGCATTAACACTATTGATGAGACAATAAATGTTAGTTAATTGCTTTAGAACATGATTTACATCTTCTAATTGATGTGAGAAAATCCTGATGGAACCAGTAACACTACGCTATAAAATACATATCTTTCCTTGATGATTCATAGATCTTTGAGAAACGTTTCAATATCACTGTTAGCAATTGTAAACGGAAAGATATGCAAATCGGTGAAAATTTATTTCTTGTTGAAGGGAGAGAGGGGAGGTGTTTTTAAATTGTTTTATTGCATCAATCACACAATTAACTACAAGTGAGACAAAAAGTTCTTAATGAAAACACTTACTACATAAAAATATCAGCTATTGTTTCATTCTTAAATAAGTTTCCTATTTTTGTCGGATCTTGTTCGCTGCATTATGGGCCAGCATATAAATCGAATAGAGATCACGGTTTCTTTAAATATGGATAAATATCTTGCATTTTGCACATTTTGAAATCTTATTGATCTGTCAACGAAATGTATTTCTTAATAAGGAATATGCATATGTTTAAGTCTATCACTTCAAGATTTTCGACCATGCCAAGTAGGAAAGTGGTGGGATTTTTTTATTTTTTGCAAAACAATATTATGTTAATACTGAATTTATAAAGCATGTCCAGAGTGATATAATATGTGTACAATCCCAAAAAGCTACATTCCTGATGTTCTGAATTTATTCGTTTATATATTTAATTTGTAAAAATATTCTATGTGTATGAATGTCTTTCTAGTCATCCTAGTTTAGAAAAATATCCAAAATATTGTGCCACCTTTCATGAGAATGTTGAGGAAAGGTCAATACAGTTCATCATAGCTTGTGAAAGAAACATTTAGACGGTTTTTCAATGTTTTTCAGTTGTCTCAATTATTATGCAAAACATCTTCATTTTTTCCATAATAAGTCATCCTTTTCTACCAATCTCTCGTTATTGCACTGAGAATACTTTTAACGTTCCTGAAATTGATATTTATTGGGCATTTCTGAATAAAACAATTCAAAGACGTAATATTTCCATGCTCGTCTACTACGTTTTTAACATAGAAGATTCCTTCATTACACAGATTTTTGAAGAATATTGTTTATCTATTAACTTTAATTTCTTTATCAAACCACAGAGGATGAGAGAGAAAGTTTTCTGGGGCTGCCGTGGAGCATTCGTAAAGATTTCCCCAAATAGACACAATTTCCTTCCAGAAATTCCCGAAATTGCACCTTCTTACTACTTCCTCTAGTCCATGTTTTATTAAACTCCATATTTCATTTCCTTTACCACCAATTAGCATTTTTTTAAATCTGTATGATTCCATGGGTCCAAAAATTTCTTTATCCACGCTACTTTTAACGATTTACTATAAGAAAAATGTCTGGTAGTTTCAAACCTACACCTTAAAAATCACAAATTAAAAGATTCAATAATCATTATTCTATTTCATATGTTTTTTTAAATCTTTGGAATTTTTTGAGTATCTTAACATATGGACTAGGTATTTGTACAATAACAGGAAATACAAACGTCTTGATAAAATTCATTCTACTAATTATAGAATGATTCATGAAAGACCAGTCTTCGAGAAGTGACTCCACTGACTTCAGTTTTCAACAAAATTATCTTCTTGAATATCGTTTTTTGATAAATCATATCTTACTTCTAAAAGCTTAAATTTCCCTAGATGATTCCAAGATTAGTTATGCTCCATTTCTATATCCTCCAGGCAGCCCCGTTCTACCCCAATCCATACAGCATGAAATTGATGATAAACATCAAGAAAATATCGACATGGCAACATAAGCATAATTCAAACTCAAATTCCATAAAAATAGGGCCAAATATGAACAAAAGAAATATTTACACTAGGACTTCTAAAACCGTCCAAGGAAAAAAAGCAGGTGTTCAGGAAGAGTAAGCGTCTTCTGCTTCATTGACGACACTCGCAATGTAAACCGTAGTTAATTCAAGTACGTAATGTCACGTTTCAAATGCGAACAAGATATACAACAACGGAACCAACAGGCAAGCTAATGAGAATCAAATACGTCCAGCCTCATGTCGCACAAAGACAGAATATTTCTCAATGATATCACTATGGCGGCCATAAAACTTCCCCGTAATTTTCATCATTTGATTTCCAATTCTGGTGGATATATACCCTGGACGTAGTAAAACAAATTCTTGTTTTTTTAAACACAAGACGTCATCAATATATCCGAAGGTGAAATTAAACAACTTTGCAAGCTCATTGTGACCTGTTTTAGTAAGCTCTTCAATAAGTTCAGCCTCTTATGAACACAAAAACAAGTCAGTCAACAGAGGAGCGCAGTTGTTTCGTGTAAGTATGCTAATAGTATGTTGGAAGATCTTATTATTATTATTAATATCATGACATTAACGGCCCGTCAACACATGAAAGGTAATTAGGGCCTTCAAGCGGTAAAACACACAGCGATCCGGAGGGAAATAACACCAAACAAACTAAAAGGCTAAAACAAATGTTAAAACTTGTTAAATTGTTATATTATCACAAAAGATTAAAATAATAAGTCATAGTCTATAATATAGACCAACATCTTTCAGATAACCGAGAATTTTATTAATCTCAACAGTTTCAAAAAGGGTCTTTAGACTTGTAATGTTATGATAAAAAATGCTCGAGTAGACAGAAGATCAATGCTGTCAAAAAAAAAAAAAAAAAAAACGGTGAGTGGCCCATCACATCCTATGCACCGTGGGTTATCTTTGCCTTTCAACATATTCGAATGCGAAAGGTATGTAAGGCCCATCTGAAGACGTCAAGTACAACTTCGTCTCGGTGGTTGTCTCTATAGCATGGAGACCATTCACCGATGATAGGTTTTAGGATTGTAATTTATTGTCAGTATATTGATTCCATTCCTCCCGCCACTGAGCTATTAAAATTTGTTTGATAAATGGTTTAAAATCAGAAAAATGAATTTTGAAAACAACAGATGGTAGCGATAAAGTTTCCTTTGCGGCACGATCTGCTTTTTCATTGCCTGGTATTCCCATGTGCCCAGGAACCCAGCAATAGCAATACGGAAGTTAAGGGCAAGTTCATGGTATAGTAATAATTTATCACATATGAAAATATTTTCGATATTTCTAATTCTAAGACTTTGTAGTACAGAAAGAGAATTTGAATAGATCACAGCTCTCATTACTTTGTTTGTTTGAATATATTCAAGGGCGAGGTAGATAGCTCGCGCTTCTGCCGAGAATATTGAGGTGTTGTTCGGTAGCCGGTATTCATACGCTTCATCTCGTGAAAAAAGGTGAAACTGTCAGTGTCTGATTAACCATTTCATGAAGTGAAAAGTCAACTTTAGGTGAATGCAAGAGCCAGGGTATCTTACCACCAAACTCTCCGTAGATGTATTTTAAATATAAGGACTTTTTAAAAGAATTTTCGTCTTCATCAAGCATCAATGTTGAGTCATCTGCATACCGGTTTACAAGATATTCAGAATTATTCAAAATAATGCCCTCGACATCAGGTTCAAACTTTATTGCTGCACTTAGTAATTCATTACAAATTATAAAAAGAACCATTGTTTTTCAATAGAAGCTGATATATGTGAGTATAAAGTTTTAAAACAGTTAATAATGAAGTAACAAAAAGCGAAAAAAAAAACTATTTTTGAATGCCCACTCAATGGAATCGAATGCTTTCTCAAAATTCAACATCAACAAAATAATCGATTGATTATTTTTTCAGCTATTTCAATAATATTACTTATTATCCAAGTACATTATGCTATGTAACGACCTTTAACAAACCCCGCCTGACTCGGACTTACGATATCAACTAGAGTTTGATTCTATTGACAATACATGATGATGCAAACTTAAAGGCGACATTGAATAAGATAACGGGTTTCCATTTTTGTAAATACAATTTTGATTCCCATGGTTTCGGAACACACTTAATTAAACCTCGACGTTGATTTATTGATATTTCCATATATGTAAATTAATCAATACCTTGTCAATTAAAAACTTCCGATTCGTATTTTACCCTTTTCCAAATAGCATATTGATGAGGATAAGAAAAGCGTATCCCTAACAAGTGGACCTTAGATTTATGTAATGTAATGAATGACGCTTTTGAAAAAAAAAGTCCCATAGAAAAACTTTCAGACATGCTTCCTATATTCACGATATAAGGAGCCTGAGGGTCCCCGACGTGCTGTTTTATAAATCATCCTAGTCTAGTATAATTTATTGTAAAATCAACTTGTATATACTTGTATTAATAAAATATGTAGTTTACATAACGCATCGTATTCCAACAGAATATAGATTAGTAAAATGTGTTGTAAAATTAAAAAAGCACTTGTATGAAGAATCTTTATGTAGTTTACATAACACATTGTATTTGTATACAAAATACCTCTTTTTTTGTATTTCATACTGGTAAATGCATAATGGTATAATGTAATATGATTGATTGGAAACAAAGTGGACAAACTGACTGACACACTGCTAACCTTTACATGATTTCTTTGCATTTCATATTGTTAAATGCATGATACTTTAACCTATTATGTTTAATTGACTGTTTCTTTAATTCATATTATTTATCATCATATACATTTATTCCTCCAAGCATGAAGAGTTAAACGAAATACATATTATATCGATACACCAAGTATACGAAATGAATATATATAAGTATGAAAAAAGGTTGA